TTCCAGTTGGAATATCCCATCTGAATGGCATCTGCCTCTTTTTAAGTTCATCTGCTAAGAAAGCAAACTCTTTTCTTCTTCTTAGAATTTTAGATGGGATCTCCTTTAAAATTATTACATCTTGTGCAGCAATTTGAAATCTCTTGTTATAAAAAGCTTGTATAATTTCATTGCGTAAAGATCTTTTCCCAAAATAAATTACCACATGTCTTGGCAAATTTCTCTGTTTTGCCACCCAAGAATTAACTAAATATTTTTTCTATTTCTCCAAGTATTTCCTCCTTTTCTCTGTCCAAAATCACAGTAAAGTCATTTGCCACCATCTCTCTCAAGTTTTCTTGCATATTTTCCCTCAAGCCTCTGATTCTTAAAGCATACTCCATCTCTCTGTATTGAGACATAACAATTTCATCTTGTGAAATTTCCATCTTTTTTCCATTCTTTCAAACTTTTCCTCCAATATATCACTTTATCTACTACTTCTTCAACACAAGAATCCAACTTTTCAACAACAGAAGCAAGTCCTTTTAGGGCCAGAACTATATCTTGCCTCAAAATATTATTATTCTCCACTAAAATCTCCTTCACTTCTCCTCTAATTTGAGATATAACATTTCCCATGACATCTTGCAAGTCTTTTACCATGAGTGGTTGTATAGGAGGAGAAGATGGTTGTTGGGCTGGTAATATCGCCGGAGAAGAAGCCACCTTAGGTACTGTGGAAACTTGACGCTTTGAAGCCATTTTAAACAAAAGAAAAAAAATTTCCTTCTTTCCTTCTTCTTAAAAAAAAGTACAAAAAGATCCCAAACAAAAATAAAAAGATAAACAAAAGAGAGGGAAAATAACTAAACCCAAGTCTCTTTCAAAAAACCATAATAATAAAAAGCAAAAAAAAAATAAATAAAGAAAAAGTAACAAAGTAACAAAATCCGTTCCGTTTCTTTTCAAGCACTCAAAAAAAAAAAAGCCTCACATCGCCATTTTACTTTCCCTCTCAACCAAAAAAAAAAAAGAGAGAAAGTGAAAATAATTCTTTAAAATTAAAGTCCAAATAAATCCAAAAAGTAAAAATTCCCCAAAAAAACTTTTGGGGGGGTTTCAGAGGCTCTACCACTATTCAGGGTAAAACTCCCCTCCTTCCTTTAGCCCAGGAAGAAGGTTTTAAACCACGGAACAGCTGATATCTGCTGTCCTCGGCGGTTTTAACACTGTCTCAGGAGGACGGCTAAAAAATAACCGCCATCGACATTGCGACACCACCAGAAGTCGTTGCAATGCCTTATTGAGAGTGCATTTGTAATCTGCACAGATGCGAATGTCCCCATTAGTCTTAAGAGGCGTGACTATGGGAGTTTCCCAAGGACTGGAGTCAACAGGTTCTAAGATTCCTTGCTGAATTAATTTGTCCAATTCAGCATCAATTTTTCCTTTTAAAGCAAAAGGTACCCTTCTTGCCTTTACTCTGATAGGAGTGACAGTGGGGTCCAACTTCAAAGAGACTGGGGGCCCTTTGTATGTGCCCAGCTGTGGGCTGAAAACATCTGCAAATTCTTTGCAGACTTCCTGTAAATCTACTGTTTGCATGCTATTGAGCCCTGTAACTTGTATTCCCAAGGCCTCAAACCAATCGAATCCTATGAGACTCGTGCGCTCACACCCCACTATCAATACATCTAATGGACCTTCAAAATCCTTATACTGTACGTTAAGGGTGGTCTCCCCCTTAACACACACTTTGGAGTTTTGAAAGTCTGTTAGCACTATATTAGAGGGCCTAAGCTTGGCCTGAAAACCACTACCAGAACAAATCTTTCTGAATGTGTGAATGGAGATAATTGAAAGTGCAGACCCAGTGTCTAGTTCCATGATCAATGGAACCCCTTGCAATTTCACCTTAAGTGACAGTTTCTTTTTGAGTGGCTTGGTGTGCCTGTCCTATAAATGCTTCTTCGTGAAGCACAGAAACCCACCCTGTTTTGGCTGGGGACCCTGGTACCTTTCAGGCGCAATTCTTCTCAGGGTTGTACCTTCTGATGGCCCAGACACACAGCTGCTATGTGGCCTTGCTTCCCACATGCTCTACAGATTGCAGAACGGAACTTGCAGTCGGTCCTCTTGTGGCAACCTCCACACCCGAAGCACTTGGGTACAGCCTTCCTTCTGCTTCCTTTCTTTGGTTGGATAGAAATGATCTACTTCTTCATCAGGTTCCTCTTCCGAGCTTCCTTGGACTCCCTTGTGGGAACAAAAACAGCTTCTGGAGTACTTCTGATAGGCCTCATATTCTTGATTGCCCCACTTGCTGCCTCTTCTGCAGTAACCTCTCTCAAGGCATCTTGGAACGATATATCCTCTTTAGCAAAAAGTCTTTGCTGCACATCTCTGTTTCTCAGCCCACATACAAATCTGTCTCTCAGTCTTTCCTCTAAGTCTTTAAACTCACAATGTTTAGCTGCTCTTCTTAATGCAGCAATGTACTCTTTAGCTGACTCACCAGCCGTTGATCCCTCTGTTCAAAAGTATGTCTCCATGCAATAACAGAAAACTTGGGCTGAAAATGCTCTTTTAATAATTTCTTTAAATCTGTGTAGGTAACAGATTCAAGAGGTGCAGGGGCTACTAAGTTTTCAGCAATTTCAAATGCATCTTGACCACAAACACACAGCAGGGTGGCAGCCTTTAAGCCCTCTTCTCTCACTTGATTTACTCTGAAATAGTTTTCTGCTCGGGCCACATAAGATTCCCATCTTTCTGGATGTGTAACATCAAACTCAGAAAGTTTCCCTATCTTTGCCGTCTTCAGTACAGCCGGAAGGGTCTATCAGCCAGCTTAACTCCAACGAAGCTGTATTGGCAGGCAGTTGCTGAATTTAACGCCGTTTCCTCGCTGTCTCAGAACTCCAGGGTAAGCTTACAATCTTTTGTGTAATTGTAAGGCAATCCCACCTTCGTCACCAGTGTTGAGTCCTCGGTTAATGGCAATGACGGCGCGAGACATTCTGTGGTTTCAGGAACTCTTTATTGGTCTTCAGTAGCCCCCGTTACAACTCTGAGCAGAACAAACCTCTCAGCCTCTCTTAAAGACGATCCCCAGGCCAAAAAGCAACATTTAGGCACGCTGCGCACCTCGCACATGCGCGTGAGCGCTGGTGCCAGCCAGTCTGGTCCCGGGCAGCTTGCAACTGCCCGGGACCATTGCAACGTCCCGAGCCTGCCTTTGCAAGCTCAGGACACAACAGTTGTAATTTAAGGACTACTTGTATTGAGGACCATGTTCAAGTGAAGTATTATCTTGGCCCTCTGCACTTCAACTTGGCCATTATACTTTATTCCTTCATTATTAAATTTTCCACAGTGGCTTTAGCATACTTAAACAAATGGACGCATCTGTCACTTGAGGTGCAGACCTAAGTAACTGCTCTATATATAGATTGCCTAGCAACCATGTGGAGCAAAAAAAAATTCTCAATCTTTTGCTTTCAACCTGCTTCTCTGCCGCTGAGCAAAGGCCATTGTTTAAAAATCTGTAAATCAGTGGAATAGACTTCAGAGTGTTGTTTATGCCAATTCCACTTTGGGACTTTCCTAAAGAATCCTAGAAAATGAAATTTCTGCAAGCTTTCTGAATTACGGTGTTTGTTCCCTTGTTACATCCAGGAGCAGACCGAATAGGACCAAATGCAAAAATAACGATGACTGCTATTATGATTCTTCTTAAATTATCCAGACAAGAGTAGAGCCTCAAATAGCATTTCCTTCTCCACACCATTCATTGATTTTCAAATACAGGTAGTCCTCGGCTTACAACCACAATTGAGCTCAAAATGTATGTTGCTAAGCGAGACATTTGTTAAGTGAGTTTTGCCCCATTTTTCAACTTTCCTTGCCACAGTTGTTAAGTGGATCACTGCACTTGTTAAGTTAGTAACATAGTTGTTAAGTGTATCTGGCTTGCCCATTGATTTTGCTTGTTGGAAGGTTACAAAACGAGTTCACAGGACTCAGGGACACTGCAACCGTCATAAATATGAACCAATTGCCAAGCATCCCAATTTTGATCATGTGACCACAGAGGATGCTGCAAACGTTGCAAGTGTGAAAAATAGGTCATAAGTCACTTTTTTCAGCGCTGTTGTAACTTTGAATGGTCACTAAATGAATGGTTGTAAGCCAAGGACTACTGTAGACACGCATACATACATAAGCTTTTGGGAGTTGAAATCCACACAGCTTTAGGCTGCCAAATTTGAAAAAGACTATTCTAAAGGAGAGAGTGAGAGTTAACTTGTCTATCACCTATCAGGTCCCACAATGATATCAGTTATTGAATGAGAGGCAATTAGAAACAAATTTAATGAAACCAAGAAGGGAACTCTTGTTTACTTCTTTTATTATTGTAGGTGGGATATTCATTATGCTTGCCTTTTGCCTTTCTTGATGAATTCTGCAATTGATTTTTGTAACTTGCTAAAATTTGACTTTTGTACTCAGTTATGGCATAATCCTGTTAGCCCAAAGAGAATTCCAATTTCTCTCCAGAAGGGCATTTTTAATTAACTGTATACTGTTTTTAATGAAAATAATAAATACTGGAATATTTTACTTTTCTAAGATCATTGTATAAGCAGACTTTTTATGATCTATGGATACTATTATTTTTTCTTATTCTTATAATGTATTTTGTTTGTTATGGCAGGTAATAATATAACTAGCTCTGCTCATTAACCCTGGAAACCTTATTAGTCATGCATAGCTTATTAGCAGAGTCTCCATACGGCCCTTCTAATATATGGGCTAGAAATATATTTTTACAAAAAATAGAAACCAACTCTAGATGGCTGGTTTCTGGTTCTTGAGTCCCTTTTTGGCTATTTTCTTATTTTTTTTTATTTTGTATTCTTGCAGATCATCACCTATCACTAATGTTCTTCCTGAATATTCTTTTATTCAGATGGTCCACCTAATTTCACCGTACCGTCTTTGCCCTCTGTTTACAGGTAGTAAATGATAAAATAGTTGCTACCAATATGGTCACTGGCTTGCCAAAGCAAACACCTGGCAGTAATGGGGACATCATTGTTCGCACAGGAAAGCTGCTGATCCCTGTCACTTGTGAATTCCCTCGCCACTACACCATCTCAGAAGGCTACATCCCGAATGTGAAGAATTCACCACTGGAAATTATGGGGCACAATCAAGGTGTCTTCCCCTTCACCCTTGAGATATTTAAAGACAAAGATTTTGAAGAGTCCTATCAGGACTCCCTTCCCACTCTTAAACTCCGAGACGCTTTATATTTTGGGATTGAGCCTTTGGTGCATGTGAGTGGTCTGGAGACATTGGTGGAGAGTTGCTTTGCTACCCCTACATCCCAAACAGACGAGATCCTGAAGTACCACTTAATTCGAGATGGGTAAGCATTGACCACTTCTGTCTTTGATCTGAGATTTAAAACTCAGGTCCTTTGATTATTTAGTCACCTAAGTTTGAGGAAAGAAAGGAAGTCCAATCTTTCCTAAGACTGTCAGCATGCTTTTTGGCCAACAGAGAAATTGGAACAAAGGCCAGCTATCATGATTATGCAGGCAAAACTATCCATTTCATTAAAAAGGAAGCAGAGGCTGAGCAAATAGATGAAATGGATTTATTGGTATCCCACCTTTATCATTTTTACAAATAACTTAAGGCAGCAAATATATACACACCTTCCCCCTCCTATTTACCCCACAACAACAGTCCTGTGAGGTGGGTCAAGCTAGAAGTGAGTAGCCCTAAGTCAACCAGCTGGTTTTCATGGCTAAGTCAGGACTTGAACACATAGGCTTCCACTTTCTAGCGTGGTTGCCTTAACCACTAGACTAGACCAAATTGGCTCTCATTTACAATTAAAATTACAATACTGTTCAGCAGAGAAAGTTTTCTTTCTGATGATAATGGTGACCATAATTAGGTGGCCATAATTAAAGACATTTCCCCTTTTTATATAACCCAGCTGTTCACCCATTAGAACATATTTAACATTAATTAACAGAAGTATCTTTTATAGCTGTTCCAGGCCTCAAAGAGAGCCCAGTCCTTTTGCCTTTGCAAAGAATTTATTTTTTTTGTATGAGAATTGTATTTACAATGTTCATAGGTAAGCATCCACTCTTGGTTTCTATCTGTTTTTAAATTATTCTTGGTTGCACAGTCAGCCAGATGTTTAGACTGGATCTGGCATTTTTATCTATCTAGTGAGTCCTTCCCAAGGACCTGGGTAGGCAGATGTTGTTGTTGGTATTAAAGGTATCATTGCAGGATATAAGGTGTTCGAAGTAGGGCTATCTTTTTCAATTGACTGATGGTGATTTTTGTCAGTGCTGATGGTGCTCCAGTTGTTTTGGAATTGCACCCAAGGTGTCTATTACTATTGATACTATCTTTGTTTTTTTTGCCACAGTAATTCAACTTCTATTTGTAAGTCAAATAGAAATCTCAAATCATATTGTAATCTTCTCCCATTCTTTTCTATTTTGCTCCTCTCCAGGTATTATAATATTCACTAGCCAGACTTTTTTGACTTTGTTATTAACAATTGTTATTTTAATATTATATTTTATCCCACCTTTATATACGTGTATATGAATGTGTGTGCATATAACTCAAGGCAGGCAGCCTTTGTATTGCAAATCTTAAATTGTACAGGACAACCAGATGTATATGATGATCATAGCACCCTGTATGAAATTTGATTCCAAATCTTGTTATCCCTGTGGTTAGGTAGCCCAAACCACATGAGTATGAATAAGAGAGAGGAGGAGGATCGGCCAAGAGTTTTGTAGACTGAATGTTGAGAATGGAAACCCAGAGATGGCAAAATATCTCAAATGAACCTTAAACTACTATAGAGATAGAGAATTTGAACAATAGAGAGGAAAATATGACACAACTAGGTGGCAAGAGAAAAAGAGAATAATTAGATAACCCAAGGTAGTAGAACAAGGGTCTTCAAACTTGGCAACCTTAAGACTTGTGGACTTCAACTCCCAAAATTCTGGGAGTTGAAGTCCACAAGTCTTAAAGTTGCCAAGTTTGAAGATCCCTGTAGTAGAACTTAAAAGGACATCCCACAGACATGAGAAGAAGTACATTGGTCTCACCTTATATCTACATGAAGTGGCCAAATGCCCCCTAATCTTCCTAGTCATGACCAAAGAGATCATGAAAGATCAGAGTTGATTGGAAGAAGTACAATCTCAGTGCAACTGGGAGCCTTAATAAACTACCATGTAAATACTTATGTTCAGCTGGAGGTGAATAGAACTTCCCCAACCGATGGTTAAATTTATGGTTTATTTATTTATTTATTTATTTATTTATGAGACTTATATACTGCTTTAAGTGCAAGCACTCTCTAAGCGGTGTACACCAGTAAGCAATGTATATATATATTTACATTGCCCCCAACAATCTGGGTCCTCATTTTACCTATCCCGGAAGGATGGAAGGCTGAGTCAACCTTGAGCCGGTGAGATTTGAACCGCTGACCTGCTGAACACAGTCAGCTAAAGTGGCCTGCAGTACTGCACTCTAACTGCTGAGCCACCTCGGCTCTTTAGCCTCAAGTTATATATGGACTCAAACAGATTAGGGAGCGATTGTGTAAAAGCAGTAACAAATTCAGAGTATCTCTGGCTGCTTTCAAATGAATTGTTCCTGGACTAGTTAACAGACCAACAAATATTCAAAATATTAAAACTAATCACAGCTTGGCTCAAGGAACTGTAGAATAATTCTTGATTTCTTTATCATTCTCATTGGTTTGTTCCATGTTTCTGAATGCTCAGAATTCAGATTCCAAGCATTTGTATGCCCTGCTGAACATCAACATTCACAAATAATAAAATGACAGCAAGTGCAAATAAAAAAAACCCCCACAGCAACAGGAAATGACAGTCTTGAGACTTTTATCATTACAAGTTAACATAATGTTTAGGCAATTCTAAGGGTATAGTGTTCTTTTAGAGAAATGAAAGATTAAATAAATAGTTGGGGGTCTCTTAAAATATAAATCCTCTAAGCAGATGGAAGGGTAAGAAAGCATTTACTCATTATGCTAAACCACACTTATGATTGATAGGCTGGAAATTATTATCCTAACACAGACATGTCAAACACAAGGCCCGCAAGCCAAATCCGGCCCACAAAGTGATTTCATGTGGCCCGCAAAGCCATCTTGGAAACAGTGAGGGAATGGCCCCCACTGCCTTGGCCCCAGCCCAAACCGGCCAGGAGCCAATGTACAATTTCGTGGTGGCCATCTATGCTGAAACACATTCAGTCTTAGCTCCACAGGGCCATCTGGAAACAGCGAGGGACCGGCTCCTGCCATGTCGGCCCCGCCCCCTGGGCGTGCGCTGGGGAGGTGTCACCCTTTGTGAGGAATGAAGAAATGCACCATTGCATGGAAGTGGCCACCAAATTTGCCTCACCTACTTCACAGATCCGGCTTCATGGGCTCCATAGGAAGGGACGCCGCGAACAGTATGAGAGTCGACGTTATCTGTGCAACACCACCCAGCCCCAGCCTGCCCAGTTTCGGCAGCCAGTGGGGCGCTTCTCACAATGTCGAGAGGCTGAGCCAGGCAGCGCAAATCCGACGAGAAGCGCGACACCGCCCAGCCCCCAGCCTGCCTAGTTTCAGCAGGCAGTGGGGTGCTCTCCTCACAGCACCAAGAGCTGGGTCGAGTGGTGTAACTCTGACAAGAAGTGTGATACCACCCAGCCCCCAACCTGCCCAGTTTCAGCAGGCAACAAGGTATGAAGCTGGCGAGCTTTGCACAACCAGGCTCAGCCTCTCAGCACTGTGAGGAGAGCACCCTGCTGCCTGCCAAAATCGGGCAGGCTGGGGGTTGGGCGGCATTGCGCTTCTTGACAGATTCATGCCACCCACTTCAGCTCTTGGCGCTGTGAGGAGAGCACACCACTGCCTGCCAAAACTGGGCAGTCTGGGGGCTGGGCGTCATCATACTTCTCTTCAGATTTGCACCACCTGGCTCAGCCTCTTGGCGCTGTGAGGAGAGCGCCCTGCTGCCTGTCAAAACCGAGCAGGCTGGGGGCTGGGCAAGTAATGTCAACTCTCATGCTGCTCATGGCATCCCCTCCCCCAGAGCCCACCAAGCTGGATATGTAAAGTAGGTGAGGGCCATGTGCTGGCCATTTCCATGCGATGGTGCATTTCTTTATTCCTCACGAAGGGTGACACCTCCCCATCTGCGTTTCTTGCCTGTTTTTCTCCCTCCCTCATCTCAAATATTTTCCCACCATTCTGTTCTTAGGAAGGAAGGAAGGAAGGGAGGAAGGGAGGGAGGGTGGGTCTGAGGGAAGTCCTGCCTTAGTCCTGCCCTGCTGCCCTATCACCATCCCCTTGCCCCCTCTCCTGGTCTATCCTGGGGGGTCTCCCATCCTATTGCTAAGGAAGCTTTGGATACAAAGCTGGGTCTCGTCACATGGAGAGGGAGTGGGCCTCCCCTCTGACTTTGCCTTCATATCCATCATGAGCAACCTGACTAAGGAGAGCAAGCACAGCAGCAGCAGCCTTGAGGAGGAAGTAAGTGCAGCTGGGCACCCCCTTGGGGAAGTGGGACTGGGCTTGGTGCCAGGGTGCTCGAGGGCTGGGCTGGGCATTTGACCTCTGCTGCCCAGGGCTCCGGGCAGCCCATGCCACTGTCCAGCCCCCCCCGCATGGCATGAGAGGAACAGTGAGGCTCCTCCAGTAGACCATGCCTTGGCAGTTGCCCCGGGCCTACGCCCTTCTGCCAGACACCCTCAGATCTGTCCCACTCCTGCCCAGGCCCCCACAGGCACTCTTCCTGCGAACGATGTAGAGTTGGCCATGCCTACCCAGTAGGCCACACCCACTACAGCCACACCCACCCAGTAGGCCATGCCCACCCTGGCCACACACACACACCCCCGAGGACAACCACAATGCTGATGCGGCCCTCAATGAAATTGAGTTTGATATCCCTGTCCTAACACATACCGCATAAAGGCTGAAGTTTGGGCACAGCCCAAACAAACCACAAAGCTTGTTGAAAAAGAAGTGTGGTTAATGACTCCTCCTTTGAAACCCAGTATTAGATCTGCCTCAGCCTGAGCCGCTAAGTAAAAACGACTCTATTTGTTGAGAAAGATATAGTTTACTAGAAGTCTTTTAGAAAACTTTTCCTTTCCTTAGGTGCCTCCCATTACTGCCCCCTCCCAACCAAATTCAAAGATGTTCTTCGAACAGTCACTTCAAGTGACTGCATGTAGCTGTGTTCCGATCCCAGCCGGTTGATCTTGAAGGCACGTCTCAGGGAGATACAGTGAACTTTTTGCTTCCCTTGAAATGTCCTCCCCCTCCCATCCAACCCCAACCCCCCCCTCCATAAAATCCATGGCAGACTGTCACCGAGTAATAGTAAAGCGCAAGCATGTGAGGTGGCAGCTGACACCCAGCTTGGAAACTAGGAGTATACTTACTCTGTAGATGGGAGCTAATTCAGATTCCACACAATAATTGTTTTCTCTGCTGCTGAAATTCTTTTAGAAACTACTTTGGTGCTAAAGGAGGGCCTTGCACAGGAATGCCATACAGCCAGTTCTACTTGCATAAGCCCTGCATTCTTAATTATAGGAAGTAGTGTCTCCTTGCCTATGGCACATGTGAACATATACTGTGGAAAAGAAGAAGGCTTTTGATGAAGAAAGATATCCAGATGAAGCACAATAAAAAAAGATTTCCCAACTGTGTTCTTAAAAGCCAGATTGCCTACCATTAAGGACATATCTCTTGCTAGACTAGGTTATTTCTATAGTAAGGGGAAGAGATGACAGTTTTAAACACAATGGGATAGGTGGATTTTGCTGTTCAACACAAACCTCTAAAAGTCTTGTAGCACTATAAATATTAGCCAATTTCTAATGCCATAAACCTGGATGGGCTATATTCCACTCTATAGCAAATACAGTTCCTAAAATACAAAGGTTTTTTTTTTTTTTTAGAATACGCAGTTAATGACATTCTCGTCCTGAATATCTATTACATGGATCTATTTTTTTAAAAAATAACAAAATAAAATACCCTTTTAAATCAATGTAGAGTGATCATGCCTTCAAAGAAGGTCTTATATAGCATCTGGTGTTTATCCAGTCTCTTAATTTATGTTGGTGCTGTTGTTTGCTGATGCACTTCATACATTTATAAGTTCCCCTAGGGATCATCTTTATACCTATTATTTATGAAACAATTTTAGATGTATTATCCCTAACATTTTCATTTGTGAATAACAATGTCAAGTTCCTTCATAAATGTTTTATGAAGTTCATTAAATCTCACTGACAAAATGACAGGTGGAAATTTACTAAATTGGCATTCTGGCATTCTTATTCTTGTAATACTAAAATACAAATAGAAATGTATGTTAAAGTAACTCAGTCCTAGTCTTGAGTTTTGCATCATCTATTTGGATTCCTTACCATTCCTTCCATTGTTCTTTGGAGTAGTTCTGCTGTTAATCATAAAGATACACATTGATTGAACATTAGAGAAATGGAGAAAACTTCACAAAGGCAAAAAAGCATTAAGGAGCATCTGTTGTAGGGATAAAAACAACTCAAGAAACAGCTGGGCTTTGAATTTGAACAGCAACCTTCTTGAATTTTTGAATTTCTCCTCATTTACTCCCTATCCTCCAAGGATGGCCTTGGAAGAACTACTCCCTGGAGTAAAACTAGCTGTATCTCATAATCCAAAGCAGCTCCTGAAGAACTGCTTGCTGGAATTGGGTATGTCTAGTTTAATGAAGAGAAGGACTAGGGGTGAAATGATAGCAGTGTACCACTATTTAGGAGGCTGCCACAAAGAAGAGGGAGTCAAGCTATTCTCTAAAGCACCTGAAGACAGGACAAGAAGCAACAGATGGAAACTAACCAAAGAGAGAAGCAACCTAGAACTAAGAAATTTCTTGGCAGTTAGAACAATTAATCAGTGGAACAACTTGCCTCCAGAAATTGTGACTGTTCCAACACTGGAAGTTTTTAAGAAGAGACTGGACAGCCATTTGTCTGAAATGATATAGGGTTTCCTGCCTGAGCAGGAGATTGGACTAGAAGACCTCTAAGGTCCCTTCCAGCTCTGTTATTCTATTCTGTTCCGTTCCGTTCCCTTCTGTTCCACTCCATTCCATTCCATTCCTACCACTTAGCAAGGAATTTTCTGCCATTCACCTTTCTTTGTAGAAGATGACTTGGTAGCATCATAATCCATATTCCAGGTGCCATTGATTTTTTTAAAAGCTCTCACAGAGACCTAAGTACAGAGTATTCATCTGAGTTCTCTCTCTGCTCTCTCTCCATCTCTCTCTCTGTCTCTGTCTCTCTGTGTGTGTGTGTGTGTCTGTCTCTGTCTCTCTGTCTGTGTCTGCCTCTCTGTCTGTCTGTCTATGACTTTGTCTGTCTCTGTTTCTCTGTCTCTTTGTCTCTCAATTGATTTATTATAGCATAGATTTTAACTAGCAAAGATAACAATATTTTCTTATATGGACTATTTTATCCTTTGAAGTCTGTCTTGGGTACTTACCACAGAAAAAAATGTTGAACTTTTCTTGGTATGGTTACAAAATGATTCCCCCCCCCATCTAGCAATAATACAAGGAACGATAGTCCACATCCTGAAAAGGCAAGTTCTGTCTGATAATCTCTTCTCACTCAGCATAAATGCAATTAATGAGCAATTTATGTCAGATTCCAAGAGGCAAAGGTTATTTCTATTTAGGACATTGCTGTCCACATCTGGTACTTTTCCTTTGCTTTTTGTTCTGGGTAGCAAGTTTTATAATGTTCAAAGTTTGCATTCTGGAGATTAGATTGCTGTAAGCATTCCCTCCTGTTATCATTAACCACCAAAGAAGATACTTTTTCTTTAAAGACACAGACCCACAAGAAGCTAAACACTGAGGAATAACAACACTCATTCTCAGTATTTTTATGTCCTTAGAATGACATCTCATTTTTCAAGGAAATTCATTTTGCTTTCCTCAGCCTACTTTCTTTATATTAATTCAGTGGTTTTGATTCTCCATTAAGGCTTAGAAGGCACATTGACAAAACAACAACCCCCCCCCCAAAAAAAAGATGTCTGTAATCATTTGATTAATTCATCTTTTGGACTCAGAAATCCTGAAAACTTATAAACATAATGGAATAAAATGACTTGGGGATAATGCATTCTGTTGCCCATTTCTTCTCTCAGATAAGTGTCTTAATTATTTTCAGGAGTGTCTGGCAGGCAATGAAGATAGCAGCCACAGCTCTCCAATTGATGTCTTGCTCTTTTTTGGAGTGCATCACAGTGTACATTCAAAGAGGGGAGGGCTTTGATCCTAGGAGTGTGGCAGCTATTTTGATATTTTCCTCTTTGTGAATACAGTTGGTTATTTGCCAATAATAAAATAATTAAATACAGAATATTGAATGCATCCTCTGTTGAAAGAAAAGTCTTCATCATGGTTCAGTCCAAGCCTGGAATAAACAACATGGCGACTGCTTTAAAAAGAAGGTTGCAATTTATTGAAAAGGAGAGCCAGACAGAAAGATGGCTCTAGAAGAGAAAACACACATAGGGAGTGGGTTTTTATACCCTCTGGAGCCTTTTGTTTGGAGTTGTTCCTGTGGCATGAACTTTGACCTGAGTCTGAGTGTGCCTTTCTGGTATTCTGATGGTGGTGGGTTAATCCTATTATGTCCCAAGGGTCATATCCTGCTTCCCTGGGGCTGGGGCTGATGACTCTTAGATTTTTGGTGTTGATTCTAGGGATCTTTCTTCCTAATCCCAGTTTCCTGATTCCAGTGTTTCTGACAAGATTATCACCTGCATTTCTACAGAGCTGGTTTCTGCTTGATGGAGGGAAACCTGGGGCTATTAAGAAAAACTGGGCATGCTTTTCTGCCTTTTTAAGATCCTTTGAGGAAATATATTTTTCTGCCCTTTTAATATTTCCTTCTCTGGGGGACTGACTTCCCACACCTCTATACATTCAGAAGGTCCACTTCCAACCTGTGTCTAAAAACTGCTTTCTCCAACTCAAGGATTTGGAATCTACTTTAAAGAAATATACAAACATTAACAGAAAAGTTCAGGTTAAAAATTATCAGGAAAAATTATTTGACTTTGTTGTCATTAATCCCACATTTTTTGAAACCTGAGAAGAAAAATTTCCTACAATATTTTCTCCATTAGCTCTTTGGTTTTGCCACGTCATCACTATATCTTTGTTGAAGAAATCAAAGGTTGGCTAAGGATTTCTTTGTTTTAGGATGCTGGTAAATCTTTTGGTCTTTAGCAGAACTGCAAATCCAGACTATGAGGGAAGCCTAATGCATTCTTTTTTTTGTTGCAATGGGTATTTTTTACATTTCTGGAATGCAATTAGACTCCACTTCTGTTTTTTCATGGAAGGCTCTAAAATATCTTCTTTCTTTTGACCATCACTCTATGAAAGCCATTGACATTTGTCTTCTCTCTCCTTCTCCTCAGCTGTGTTTCAGATGATTCGATAAAGCAATATACATCAAAGGATCACTTGGCTAAACATTTTCAGGTCCCAGTGTTCAAATTTGTGGGTAAAGACAACAAGGTGAGCAAAAATTCAAATTGCTGAATTTAAGAAGAGCTGACAAATTCAGAGGTCTATTGAAATGGATTAGCAGAAGATCCAGATGCCACCAAAATCTTCTCTCACTTTTGATAGATTTGATTAGGAGAGCATGAAAATGAATATTATTGGTAAATGGGGGTTTAAGTTAATTAAAAAGCGATTTAGAGGCAAAACCAAATTGATGAAAGCCAATATTAATACTGTAAAAGGTTTGCAAAATGTTTTCAAGTCTTGCCTAGCTCTGATGCTTTCTTCTTTTAATTCTCAAACCTACCATATTCTCTTTCTCCTGAAATGGAAACGAAATGGACTGTCTGAGATTAGTTGCTAAACACTACCAGTTGCACCAAATAGATGAGTTCACAGCTTGGTTCCCTTGGAAATTTTATATTATTATTTTAGAATGGGCGATATTAAAACTCTCTGTTCTGAAATGAGAACTTCTCATGTGAAAGCACTTCTTAACAATTCAGTCTTTGCAAGATAAATAAATATAAATGGATTCTTCCTAAGAATCAATTCAACACTATCCATTTTATGACACTAACCAAAACATTCAACAAGGAGTTTTGGATCCAACCAAAACTGCTGGCAGTCCAGCAATTTCAAAATTTCAAGAAAAGAATGACAAGGAAACCAGCTTTTATTCTACAGCATAGAGGTATCATCAGTTTTTCTTGAAAAAAGTTAACACCATTATTCCTTTTAAGTTTTTGCTCAGGAATAAAATACTACTGTTATTTAAAATGATATATAAAATCTGGCTGCTTTTAAACATCTCCAACCATTCTGATTCATTCTCTGAAGTGCACATCTAGTGTTGGACAGATCCATTTAATTTGCCTTTACAAATGTATCTGTTTGAGGTAAGGGCTATAGCTGGATGAAAGTAAGCCTGGACTTTTATTTGGATATTTGAGCTGGAGGCTGACATACTGTCTGTTCCATATTATGGGATGGCTGAAGGTTCAGTGCAAATAAATTTCCACCAGGCTAATGTTACTTCTACTATTTTATTTCTGTCTTACCTCCTGAATGAGAGAAGTTTCAAAATATTGTACCAAGAACTGCAGCTAAGGCAAAATGAACACGTCTTTATCTCTTAGACTGCCAATCTTCAGACATGGGGGGTCTGCTTCTTTCATAGTCAGAAGCTTAGATATTCTTTGTGTCTGAGAAGCAAAGCAATATGAAATAGCATTTTTTCTGAGCCAGTGGTTCTCCTTCCCCTAGATCAGGGGTAGGCAACCTTGGCTCTGTTATGATTTATGGACTTCAACTCCCAGAATTTCTGAGCCAGCTGTGCTGAGGGGAAAGAGAGAGGTTTCCAAAATGAGCCATGCTGGCTCAGGAATTCTGGGAGTTGAAGTCCACGAGTCATAAAAGAGCTAAGGTTGCCTACCCCTGCCCTAGATAATGTATGTATGTATTAATAAGAATAGTGAAAATAAAAATGTGATTCCTGGATGAATCCATAGTCAATTACCAATAAAACGTGAACACCAGGAATATAATAAACTATAAAAGTTTAATACCATCACCAAAAAAGGGGAGGAAAGAACCTCCCTAATTCAAGACAGTGGGAGGTAGAGGGGAATAATGACACCCCCACAAGCAGTAAAAGCAAGAAAAGAGGAGTCATCAGTATGGAAGCCATAATTAAAAAGCAGTTAAATCAATTAGGACCTACGACAAGATCTAAGAGCCGTGTGCAAATGACAGCTCACCTATAAAGGCACTCTCCCACAGACCAGCATTAACCCTGACGATGTCAGAAGTATCTGACGAATGCTTGGTGATCGGTGATGGTATTAAACTTTTATAGTTTATTATATTCCTGGTGTTCACGTTTTATTGGTAATTGACTATGTATGTATGTATGTATGTATGCATGCATGCATGCATGCATATAGGAAGGTATATATATGTAGACATAAATATGCTTTTTTCCATTTAGGAAGTGTTCCTACATTGTCGTATTCTTGTATGTGGAGTAACAGATGAGAGATCTCGCTGTGCACAGGGTTGTCACAGACGGATGCGCAGAAGAGTTAAACCACAAGAGGAAGGGCATCACATCACACACCATATCCTGATAAGTGGCCCAATTAAAATTGATGTGCAGGAATAGATGTATGAATATATATACACAGATGAAAGTGTACAGCCCATTTATTTCAGAAGCATATGTCCCCCTTGTGTTCAAATTAGATGTAATCTTACATCTCAGTTCTGTTGCATGTGGCAGGGACATTGCATGGGAATTTTGATTTTATAGGGTCAAAGCAGGGTCCTCTTTAATTAGACATGATTTATTCAAAGCATAGTCAAAAATGCAGGGCCATCCACAGCTCAAACAAGTGTCAAGTTGAAGCTACAGCTGTACAATTGAAGCCTTGCCTCTTTTTTGTATGCATCTAAACAAGTCTTCATACGTGTCAAAATTTTGAGTTTCTATAAAGCAGTACTGACATTGGGATAACAGTTGGGACTGGTGGTAATGTATCAACATATTAAATTGTCATGCTTAATTGTGTGTGTGTGTGTGTGTGTGTGTGTGTTTTGGAAAGTTTACATGCTCATAGGCTTAATTATGGTTTCACAGATCTAGGGTCTTTCCCTACTGATCTGAAATAGGCACTGCTGTTCTGCACCCTCACAATACTTTAAAGCTGCTGGCAGTCTTTTCTTTCTCAATCAATTGATTTCAGAAGTTAATTGGCTACTAATTTAAAGGAAACACAACAAAGGCATATTTGTTGCATATTTTCTTGGTTCCTATTTGAAATCTTCCTCAGCTTCCCCATTCCTAAGAGCTTCCCTCCCCTCCTGAAATGATTACAATATAATTTACGCTATTGCTCCACTACTTTCAGGCTGTTTTGAGAGATGTTTTCTCTGTGCCCCTGTAGAATGATCACTTTCTTTTGAAGAAAAAAAATACAGAAAACCCCCATGAAAAGCAAATGCAACATGAAAATAAGAAAGAAGGGGAAGGGTACCAGTTAATATGAAACCAATAAAGGAGAATATTTGTAGCTCATGGCTGAAATGAAGGGTCTTTGGTGCTCTCTGAGCTTGGTTGTTTTCTTGCAGATGTTTTATTACCCAAACTAAGTACATCATTAGTGTTAGTAGGGAGTGGGGTTTGCTCTCAAATTATATTTTAATCCTAACAACAGAAGTAAACAATACCCCAATTAAGGAACTGCCAAACAAGCTAACAGTAAACAGGCCAACCAAAGAATATCTAAAACCACCCCCACCAACACTGACAAGGTAAGCCACTAGATAGAATATAAATTGAGAGCAAACTCCACTCCTTACTAGCACTGATGATGTTACATAGTTTGGGTAATGAAATGTCTGCAAGAAACCAACCAAGTTCAGAAAGCACTAAGGACCCCTCACCATTAAGGACTCCCATTGGCCAGCTGCAGGAAGAGGAAAGGAACAATTCTTGGAAAGTGATGGGGCAAAAATGTTAGTGATGATTGGGTAGACAGCATTGTGGTAGTGTGAAAAGAGCACTAGCCATTCTAATGCTTTCTTAGCAGCTCTGCAGGTGTTGAGAACGTTCTCCATGATAACTAAGAAAATCTTGCAAATGGGAAGGAAAAGAATAATAATTTGTAGGTCATACAAGGATTGAAAACTTTCCTGTTCTCAGATTAATGCACACATTCATAAAGTTTTCAGCCTGCTCAAACTCAGGTTGTAAAACTTGGCTGTGCAACCATAGAAACTGATAGGCTCAAGTCTGAATTATTCAACTTCCTGAAGAGAAAACCATGACATTTAAATACACATTTTTCCAGAAAATTTATACATCACACTATTACAGACTTTGAAAATGTTCTGCAACTGCTGCATACCTTACTATTATCTCTTTCTTACCACTCTCCCCTTTTTTTTCCTTTATGGAATTATCAGGAATTTTTTTTCCAACAACTTGATTTATGATAGCTCTTTATGCTGTTTAAGAAACTGTGCATCAGTTAATATTGTCAGCAATTCTCCCACCCATCCTGAGTAATTTTTCCAATCTATTTTGAAAAAAAAACACCACATTAATATTTACACAACTGAAAATGACATGTTTTAACTTGCTAAATGTGTTTTAAAAAACCTACTTTCAGAGGTGAGAGTAGTTTTCATGCAAATGTTCTTTTTCCTCTTGATTTGAAAAGCTTCTTGTTTTTTTTTTTCATTAGGATAATATGATATGGTTGTGTATGCTGTTGTGTGTAGGTAGTCCTCAACTTCAGCACTGAAAAAAGTGACTTATGACCATTGTTCACACTTATGACTGTTGCAGCATCCCCATGGTCACGTGATCAAACTCAGATGCTTTGAAATTGACTCATATTTATGATAGTTGCAGTGTCCTGGGGTTATGTGACTACTTTTTGCAACCTTCTGACAAGCAAAATCTGGAGAAGCCAAGTTCACTTAACAACCGTGTTATTAACTTAACAACCACAGTGATTTTACTTAACAACTATGGCAAGAAAGGTCGCAAAATGGGGCAACATTCATTTAAGATATGTCTCACTTAGCAACAAAAAGTTTGGGGTCAATTGTGGTCATAAGTCAAGGTCTACCTGTATTGTGATAATAACAATTTGGGGGAAACCAATGAAACATTCCTTATAAACAGCATGTCTTTCACAGGATCATAAGAAAAGGGGAAAGGGAAAGTTTTTCTCTGGGGGATTGTGAAAAAGAACCAATCCATCTGATGGATTGTTGGCCAATGCAACCCAATTACTGTAGTACAATAAAGCAGTTCCAAATACTTCAGTCTCAGTCAGAAGGAGATTTAATTCCTTTACCCTGTGTTCAGAGGAAAAAAAATCAGTTCTCTTTCTTCAGCGAGCAATGGACAATCTATCAGAATGGTTCAATTTTAAAGAGGAGGATATGGAAAAAGAATCAAGACAACCCAAGAATTTTACGTGTATGAAATATATAGAGTTGTGTCACTTGAAGTTGTAGAATAGTAGTAACTCTATGTAGTTAGAAGTAAATTTGTTGCAATCCTTGATATTGTTTTAAACCATATATGTCAGTGATGGCGAACCTTTTAAAGACTGAGTGCCCAAACTTATTTTTCGCCGAGTGCCAGGTGGGCGTGGCCCACTAGGTGGGCGTGGCTGTGGTGGTCATGGCAAACTGGGTGGGTATGGCCAAGGTGGGCATGGTCACCTTGATGTTGCTTGTGGGGAGGGACGCCTCTGGGGACTGGGCAGAGTTGGGGGAGATCTGGGGGGCTCTGGCAGATGAGGCAGTGGGCAGGAGGCTCGTCCTACGGGGTGAGGCGAGGCAAGAGGAGGCAGGGCGGGGATGTCATTGTCACAGGGCAAGGCAAGGCAGGGGCCAGGGCGGCTGCTGCCTGACACATCGGCACCCACACACAGAGGCCAGCGAGCGCATGGGGGCCAACAGTGTCCGTCAGCAGCCACAGCCTGCTGGCCCCTCAACCGGTGCACTCTGGGGCTCTGCAGTCCACCAGCAGCAGTTCAGAGAAGCCGACAGCTGAGGAGGTGATGCAGTGGGTCGTGCCCAGGAAAAGGAGACCATGCAAGGCCAGGAGGGATGGGATGGAGGGGAGGGAAACCAGCCGTGCTGGGATGCATCCGGCCACATGGGACCTCGGTGAGTTAGCGGGCGCCTGGTTGAAGAGGGACGGTTGCCATCTCTGGGGCATGGTGCACGTGCCCACAGAGAGAGCTCTGAGTACCGCCTCTGGCACACATGCCATAGGTTTACCACCACTGGTATATGTTATTTAATAAAAGTTTGAAATGCTCTGCATTTTATATAGTTCTTATCATGTACCATTCATACCTTTTTCTTATTATGAGATGATCCATAATTTTCCTCTTTAAATGGAACAATATTTAGTGAAAATAAAACAAATATTATACAATGACTTCTTACTCTGATCTTGGCCTTTGTCTCTCTCTTGTCTTCAAGCAGATGCCCACAACTCTTGTTTTTGTGTCAAACTGAGATCTGCAGTTGGTAATCTAGTCAATATTGACGGGCTTCTTTTTACAGCAATGTAAGATTTCTATGACTTTGTATCCCTTGAAAAGCAAAAGCAACAGCATCTGAGGAAAGCCATGGGCTTAGCATACACATATGGGCTGCAAAGGTGTATATTGTCAGTGTCATCTTGCAGCCTCAGATCTTCTTTGATGCATGGATTGCTCATGTGTATCTCAGCTGCTCTTCACATATAACAAATCATCTCTAAGTCAAGCAGATGCTCTGGGAAGTGGATAGAAGCAATTGGATAGAACAAATGAGGGTATCGGACCAAGCAATTCCATTGCTTTTTGGAATTTCTTTCTCAGTCGTGCTCACTTGACAATTAATGCATGGGTGGACACAAGAAGCTGATTCCCAAGCCCCAAAGTTAAGAAACTTGTGCTTGTTCCAGAAGATAGAAGACCAAGCCTCTTGTAAACAAAGGATACCAGAAGCCAACATTATCTCACACTACCAAACAGCTAGATGATCATTTCACAATTCATCTCGTTCTTCTTCATTACAGATGCAGGCACTTCTTTGGCTGTTCATGAAGGGACGGCAACCCAAGGTCCTGACTGTTTGGAATATCGTATCAGCTATTGATTCACATGCTGTAGCAAAAGAGAAAGAGATCAAATCGGTCACCCCTTTCTTTTATAAGCCTACTGAGATTTCTTTTCCTTAGACCATAGGAAAGTGATCAAGATCTGAGTCAACCTCCAGAACTGTGCCTAAAGTTTCTATGCTAACACAACAAACAGAGCCCAAAAGCAACAGTTTTCTTGTTTTATGTAAGCTTCCAAAAATGGATCCAATATTATGAATATTGGTCTCTTGCTTGAGCAAGGGGTTGGACTAGAAGACCTCCAAGGTCCTGTCCACCTCTATTCTGATTGATTTTGATTTTTTTTTTATTTTGAAAAGGTGCAGTACTCACTTTAGGAACGTTTGCTATAATAGTGTTATATATACAGCACTGACAGAAACATGAGGTAAAGATACCTCATTTTTATTACATTAAGCCTTTAGTATCAAGAAATCATAAGCTGCTCAGTGCTACATTTCTCATCAAATATGCATGATTCTTATCATCATGGAAGGGCATTTCTTCTTGAGCCTCAAAGTACTTTTATCTCTAAAGGGATTGCCATCTTTCTGTTTGGTCCTAAGAGGTGCGTGAGCTGGACCTCAGGCTGTATTCCAGGTTTAGCAACACTAGTGCATCTTTGCCACTCAGCCAAAGTCCATTCCTGGCAGTTCTTTAGTCCCTCAGATACATTGGAAATAGTCCAGTTTCTCCTTTCTCTGGCACTTTTGAGATAACTTGGACAATAAATTCTTTCCCATCAGCGGGAGAAGTCAATAAGCTGTAAAATGCTGTTACCATATATTTATTGTTCCCTTCAATTTGGCATGATATGCTAAAAATATAGTAAAGATTGCCATTTTAAAAATAAAAGCTCTTATTTTCTGGACATATGAAAGAGAATGAGCTATGAGAAACATAGCAAGGAGGAAAATGGTTTTAATATTTTTTTTCCTGTGCCATTTTCCTATTTAAAAATCCCTCCTTCCCCTGTTGCTACATTATCACCTTGTGGCTAACTTTAGGGTCTCCTTTATCCAGTTAAGACAGAAGTTTTAATAAGTTTGCCTAAAATGCTCTTTCACAGGGCTATGCTTTTGCTCAGAAGCACTTTGGAGATCACCAATACCATCAAGACTATCAAGCTGACAGGGCAAACCACTGTATATAAACAAAGAGCAAACCCCCATCTCTTCTAGCACTTAACATGTTTCCTAGTTGGGTAATGAAATATCTGCAAGAAAACAAGCAAGGACCCCACACCTTGGAGATCATTTCTGTCCAATTCATCCAACATGAAAGGCTACAAACAAGAGGTGCTCAATGCCATTCAGAAAAAAAGGAAAGAGAACAAGAGGAAACGACAGTAGAAGTATCTATGGAGAGATCAAAGCAAATTAATATAAGGGCTGCAGACGAGTGATCAAGAATTCCCGGAAAAAAAATAGTGGAGTTTCAGTCATGCAGTCATGACCATGTCCTGACATTTTTAGTACCCTTTTTTCCCTGGAAGGGAAGGAAAATAGGAACCAATCTGGGTCAGTCACTGGGACCAGAAGTTCTCTGAAGATGGGCTCCAGCGTGAGTCCAAAAGCTCAGAAGACTAAACCTCTGGTCCCGGTGACTGACCCAGATTGGATCCTGCAACATTATCCTGGCATACATATATTTACCTTCATTTGTGGGAAGGAAAATAGCCTGGCATTTTAGATGGAAAAACACAGGGAAAGGAGAAACTGTCATTTTCAAGCTTACTACTACTATTACTACTACTACTACTACTAATAATAATAATAATAATAATAATAAAGTTGGAAGGGACCTTAGAGGTCATCTAGTCCAACTCCCTGCTCAGGCAGGAAACCCTGTACCATTTCAAACAAATGGCTGTCCAGTCTCTTCTTCTTTTTTTTAAATAAGTTTTATTAATTTTCCATTTTTACAAAGCTTCAGGTATTAAGGAAGCAACATGGTGGTTGGGTAATACATAGTCCAATAACACGCTTATCAATACATATATCAGTTTACATCATCAAAAATTTCCTCTCTGTTTCCCGTAGTTATTATACCAAATTCAAATTAATATATTGCAAGTTATAACTCAATCATTTAAAACATTTATCAACAACTTTTAACTTATATGTCTCCAAATCCTGTTTTAAATTTTTATCTAATTTCAATTACAATATTCCAGTTGGCTTAATGTTCATAGTATTTAAGTTTCGGATAACCCACGGTTCCTTTAGTTCCTTACAAAATAATTATCATGTCTAAAATACGCTTATTATTTATTCAAATAGATTTTTAGTTTATTTCACAATCATATTCTACTTCTCATTCTAATATCATCGCTTACTCATAAAATAATCTTTATCCTCTAAATCCATCTTCTACTTTATAATTCAAAACTATTATTTTAGTAACTAATTTGTTCCCCTTATAGATATAAATCCTGAATATTAAATCAAATAATATCTTTTAAAATCTCCTTATCCCATTACGTGAGATTTGAAGCTCTTCCATTAAATGTCACATACATAAAACCATTTTTAAGTCTAACTCTGGCCTTCCTTTTGTGCCAAACCGGCTTCCATAAAAGAGCTTTTAGATCCTCGGGTGGATCTCCCTTCATTCCTGCATATATCATTTGAATCAAGAGAGACCATCCAATCATCAGCCTATCAAGTAAGCTAGTCCCTTCACAATCGTTAGATTGTTGACCAAATGGTTTAAATCTCCATATTTGACTTAATATATTTGTCATGCGTTCAGGCTGATCATCTTCTTCTGGTTTCAGGTAGTTTAGCTGAAAAGTCATGTTCAATGTTGTAGTTATTTTTGGATCATCTGGATTGTCTAGATTCTCAGTATATTGTGTATGTAAGTCCTCAGCATGTTCCGTCTTAGTATTGCTTTCTTCAGTTTCTATTGCTGTTGTAGTTGTAGAGTCTTTAAATGAGATCAAAGTTTGAGTGTCGGAGTTCTGAGTAATTTGTAGCTGACATTCTTTAAAATCCACTTTGTTATTAATTCCTTTTCTTCTGTTGCTTTTTGGGTTGTAGGTTCATCTATTCAAGTTAAAGCTGCGTTTTGTAGCTTTAAGGTGGCGTGTATATCTTTCATTAAAGCATTCATTAGCTCAGGAGCCTCTAAGATTTTTTCAAGTATAAGTTTGAAATTAAGCTGTGGGTGGTGTTCCTCCATTTCTGTAATGTTTACGAATAGTCTTTAGTGGAGGCTATTTTTAATAAAAGTCAATAACTGTCCACCTCCACTATAAAGAATCATTTTCACCATCCAGCTGTTTCAAGTTCTTATCTTTTTCTTAATGTCAAGGACAAATTTTAGTCTCAAAAGTCTCCCTGTCAGAAAAAAAATTTTCATTTGCTGTACCAGATTTTGCCACAAGAAGTCCCCAGTAACATACAGAATGGAGCTTTTATCCAGTTCAGCGAAGGAAAAAAGAAATATTCCTCCTTTTTTCCCAGCTTAACAAAGGAATAAAACAATAATTTTTTGTAGAAATGCAGAATTTTTAGGGAACATGTGGTCATTTAGTCTTGTTGTCCTTCTCTCTCTCTCTCTCTCTCTTTTAGCTTTATATTCCCAGAGTAAGCAAAAGCCGCAGAATTAAGCTGGGAGAAGAGGGTATTTCCAAGGGCTTTTACAGGAGCATAGTTGGGAAAGAGAAAAGGTAAAATAAAGTCTCACCCAACTCCTCCAGTTGCTTCATCATGCTTTGTAGTGCTTTGGCCTTCGGCTGGTGCGACTTAATGAGCGTCTTCTTCGGTCCTGAGGAGCTGCCTCAGATCAAATGGAGGGGCTGCCACTCCTCTGCAATCTAGCGAGAGTCCTCCCCAATGGTGGTCGCCCCTCCAGGACAACTTTTGAACCCTTTCCAGAGTCTCCCGAAGAAGGAAAACCGGACAGCGGGGACAGCAGTCTCTCCGCTCGTCTGCTAGCGCTGCGATCCGGAACCGGAAGCCCTCCAATCTCTTCTTTAAAACAGTGTTGGAGCATTCACAGCTTCTGGAGACAGGTTGTTCCACTGATTAATTGTTCTGTCAGGAAATTTCTCCTTAGTTCTAGGTGGCTTCTCTCTTTGGTTAGTTTTTATCTGTTTGCTTCTTGTCCTGACTTCAGGTGCTTTGGAGAATAGTTTGACTCCCTCTTCTATGTTGCAGCCCCTGAGATATTGGAATACTGCTATCATTTCACTCCATTCTTTATTAAACTAGATATACCCAATTCCAGCAACTGTTCCTTATATGTTTTAGCCTCTAGTCCCCTAATCATCTTTGTTGCTCTTCTCTGTACTCTTTCTAGACCTCTGTTATTGTACTTGTGAATGTAAGTGCATGTTAGAACACAGAACACAGAATCATAAGGTGGAAGGGAACTCGGTGGTCTTCTTATCCAACCCCCTGCTCAAGGCAAGAGCTCCTATATTATCCCAATTTAATGGTTGTCCAGTCTATTTTTGAAAACTTCCAGTGTTGGAGCACCAACAATTCCGGGAGGCAAGCTATTCCATTGATTGTTCTCAGTGCAGAAAATTTCTCCTTATTTCTAGGTTGGATCTTTCTTTAACAAGTTTCCACCTGTAGGAAGTCACCTCCCCCCCCCCAAGAATGAAATATTTTGGGGATATTAAAAGAGGCAGGGTAGTATATTTCCCCTGAAGGAAAAATGGAGAAAAAATCTTAGACAGAAACAGCACCAGTCTCCCTTTCCTCAGGCAGAAACCTGAGGAGGCCAACCTTTAGAAATGGAGATTTGGTAATCCATTCAGAAACACTGGGGCACAATAAACAGCTGATGAGATTAAGAATTTACTTTCTCCCACCCAGCTCCAAGGATAATGGGAATCAGGCAACAATAATTAGAAAAGGGCACACTCAAGCACAGGTCAAAGTACATTTCACAACAGGCATCTCAAACACAAACCCCAAAAAAAGGTGTAAAAACTCACCCACTCTCAACTCCATTTATCAGCTGTCCCAGAACTGCATGCTGTTGCTGGTTCTGCTCATCAATAAACAGGAACTTTCTTTCTTAAGCAGCCTCCATTTTATTCCTGGCTTGGAACTGGACCTGATTTTTCTTTCAACACACCAATTACTTCTTGTCCTGTCTTTTGGTGCTTTGAAGAATAATTCTATCTTTGTAATAGCCCCTTAAATACTGGAAGATAGTTATCATGTCCTTCCAATCCTTCTCTTTGATAAACTAGACTTACCTCCCTCCCTACCTCCATCATATGATTTAGACTCCAGGCCCTTTATCATCTTTGTTGCTCTTCTTTGCACACTTTCTAGGATCTCAGCATCTTTATTGTGGCCATCATTAATATGAGACTAAAACATACAAAGAACAGTTGCAGGATTGGGGTATGGCTAGTCTAGAAAAAAGAAGGACTAGGGATGACATGATAACAGTATTCCAAAATTTGAGAGGCTGCCACAAAGAAGAGGGAGTCAACTTATTTTCCAAAGCAACAGAGAGTAGGACAAGAAAGAATGGATGGAAACTAATCAAGGAGAGAAGCAACATGGAATTAAGGAGAAACTTCTTTACAGTGAGAATAATTAATCAGTGCAACAGCTTGCCTTCAGAAGTTGTGGGTGCTTCATCACTGGAGGTTTTTAAGAAGAGACTGGACAGCCACTTGTCTGAAATGGTATGGGGTCTCCTGCTTGAGCAGGGGGTTGGACTAGAAGATCTCCAAGGTACCTTTCAGTTCTATTCTGACTGACTGGATGCAGTATTCCAAGTGTGGCCTCATTAGTATGGTATAGAGCAGTATTATCACTTCTCATGATCTTAACACTATCCTTCTGTTGACACAGCCCAAGACTGCATTGTCTTTTTTTGGCAACTGCAAGACATTGCTGGCTCGTATTCAAATGGTGGTCCTCTAGGACATCTAGATCTCTCTGTGGAAGAAGATTTGCAAACTTTCCTTATAGTCTCTGAAGTAAGGAGCTGGAGACAAGAGTACTGGGTTAATGGAGACTCAGCGTCTCTAAACATTTCTGACCTGTAGGAACACCGTGGGACTTTCAAGCTCATGAAGAATCCCTGTTCAGGAGTGCCCTAAGTCTTGATGAAAAACAACTATTTCCCCCACTGTGGTTTCTTCTTGGCTTCTGAAATGATTTATGAAAAATAGTTTCTTCTTTTCAGCAGAGTTTCTTACCTCTTGGCATTCTAGCCAATATTTATAACTTTATTCACCTTTATTAACTAGTAGAATTAAACTGGAAAAGATTTTTGGCAACGTGATTTAAAATATATAGCTTTATAAATATGCATGAGACATTTGCTGTAAGAAAGGGAGAACATCTCTTTCCAGATAAATACTTAAAGGAGGATTAAAAAGAGAGAACAGAGAAATTCAAGGAAAATAAATACAGAAATCAAGGATTGAGTATTTAAAAGGGTGCCTGGATCTGTGAGACCACAGAAAATTATATAAATGGAAAAAAGTGCTTCATAATTAAAATATGGGTTTCATTATTTCTTTCAACTAAATTAATTCAGAAGACAGACTGTAGCAAAGGTTTGGAATCTAGAAGCCTAATATTTTCAGAGCTAGCTGTAATATGCTTGGGTATCATAATTTTTAAAAGAAGTGTATATGAATTCAGAAATACAAATGAGATTTTCTATTCTAATTAGTATGATTCAGCATTTTGGGGGATTTTATTCAGGCTAACTGAAGGATAATTTTAGCTAATATGAGAGTTTATTAGCTCATCCAATCATTTTTTTTCAACAAGCTGTGCATTTATTATTTGTGGCTTTGTTATTGTTCTACATATTTCATTAATGCTGTTTATTATGAATTAATTATGTTGTTTTCATTAATTAAAGCATATACATAACTCACAGAGTTCTTTCACCTTTTTCTATAAACTGTTAGATTTAATGATATTTATATGTAAATTGGAGCAGATTTAATGATAACACTATATTTAAATCATAATTATAATTAATAATTCAATAAATATTGAATAATAGATATAACAGCAAGCAAACATTCTCAGAACAAAATAACATAGTAGTTCCTCCAATATGATATTTATGAAAAATGGATTATACTATTAAATTCACAATTCATCACAATGGTCTTAAAACATTATTTTCCATCATCCTTCTTTCCTTCCATTTTTCCCTTAGAAGAGTAGATCAGTCAAACTGTCCGTCATATAATTGCTTGTTTTTGTGTGATAGAAAAGGACCGAGGCTGTGATCGGATGCTCTTTAGACAGGATAAGGTCAAAGATCCCCTTAACAGATTGGAGGAAGATGTGTTTTGATCATAGCCAAAATTAAATGTTGTCCCTGTCTTATATACAGTAGGAGCTGTAGTGGGGCAGTGGTTAGAATGCAGTACTGCAGGCTGACTCTTCTCACAACCAGGATTCAATTGTGACCAACTCAAGGTTGACTCAGCCTTCCATCCTTCCAATGTCCGTAAAATGAGGACCCAGATTGTTCGGGGCAATATGCTGATTCTGTAAACTGCTTGGAGAGCGCTGAATCTAAGTGCCGTTGCTCTATGATAATCTCTAATATTAGCCTGCTGGAAAAGTCACTCACTCCTAAAAGAGAAATGAGTAAACAGCTTCTCACGCTAAGTGCAGGAAGAAATTTTGCTAGAAATTAAGTAGAAAATGGAGGAAATAGGATAGCAAATGGTTTGTATACATAAGATTGTAGGTTCAGTTCTACAATCAAAAAGAGCTAAGATAGATGCTTCTCTGGACATCTAGAAGATAATGCCAGTGAATGTATTGTATCTAAACCTGAGCAAGGATAACTAAAAGTCTAATCTTGTGTATTAAGGTAAATTCCTAGAGTAGCCTCATGCAGAACTGGGCTACATACCCAGAACTAAAGGACAATATCCTAATCCCAAACTTCATGGAAATCAAATTAGACCTCACCCCCATTTACAGATATATAAATAATTACTGAATTCAAACCTGGCAACCAAGAAGTAGTAAATCTACACATTTTATCACCCTAATGAAGCCAGTAAATTAGTAAGTCGCTTTTTTTTGAGACTGTTCCCTACATCAGTAGCTCTGAAATATGAACTTCCTAATTTATCTTGTTACATCCGAAAACTAAATTAGCAACCCCTCTTCCATCTAAGTGCTTCTGATTGAACCAAAGAGAACTTAATGGTGCAAGGGAATGAAATGCTATTTTCTGCCTGAATGAGCTTTTTCAAAATATTTTGTTCAGTGTTCCACACCTTTTTTAGCTCACAAATATATTTTAATAAACTTCTTCATCTTTCAATGTAATAGGCTTCCTTCCTTCCTTCCTTCCTCCTTCCCTCCCTCCCTCCCTTCCTCCCTCCCTCCCTCCCTTCTTTCCTTCTTTCCACTGGCTGGCTTTAGAGCAGCACCACCCAACCTTTTGGGCACCAGGGACCAGTTCCATGGAGAGAAGTTTTCCCACAGCCCAGAAGGGACATGATTTCACATGTGGCCTACATCCTGTGGATGGGGCGTTGCTTGTTTGCGCGGACCGGTTTCTCGCATGCCACAGACCTGTGCCAGTCGACGGACCTCTGCTTTAGAGGAAGTTTTGTTTTTATTCTGATGGAGGTACAGCCATTTGTTGAGTGGCTGTTCAAAATTACAACACCACTGGAAAATGTGACTTATGAGCAATTCTCACACTGATGACTATCACAGCATCCCCATGGGCACATGGACGAAATTCAGGTGCTTGGCAACCAGCATGGTTGCAGTGTCCCAAGGTCATGTGATCACCATTTCAACACTTCCCAGCTGGCTTATGACAAGCAAAGTCACTGGGGGAAGTGGGATTTGCTTAACAACCATGTGGTTCACTTCAGTGACCCGTTTAACAGACATGGCAAAAAGTCATAACATTGAGTGTGATTCACTTAACAGCCACCTTGCTTAGCAACAGAAATTCTGGTCCTCATTGGGGTCATGAGTCAAGGACTACTTGCATAACCTGCAGACATTCTTGGGCTTCAGTTCCAGAGTGGGAGTTAAGTCCTAATATGTGAAGAACCACACTTTCTCTATTGGTCCTTTCAGAAACACAAGCACTGCAATAAAAATTGTTAAATCACCTTGGTAACATCCATCTGAAATTATTTTGCTTCCCTTCCTACTTAATTATATCCTATAAATCTCACAGGAAAAAAATGCACTTTTTGGGTCTGGAGCATGCAGCTTGGTATGCTTTTTAATTATTTCAGGATGAGTATAATAAGTCTGGTCTAGCCTTCTTTGTCCATCGGTGCGATAATTTAAAAAAAAATTCAGATAATCTCAACAGAGGAAGTCCTTCACATACGATCACAACTGAGCCCAAAATTTCTGTTGTTAAATGAGACATTTGTTAAGTGAATTTTCCTCCATTTTACAACCTTTCTTGCCACAGTGGTTAAGTGACTCACTTCAGTATTAAGTTAGTAACATGGTTGTTAAGTGAATCTGGCTTCCCCATTGACTTTCCTTGTCAGAAGGTTGAAAAAGAGGATCCCATGACCCTAGGACACCGCAACTGTCATAGATATGAGTCAGTTGCCAAGCGTCTGAATTTTGATCACGTGACCACAAGGAGGCTGCAATGGATGTGAGAGGGAAAACAATCATAAGCCCATTGTGAGGACCCACCCCACTTTGCATCTTAAGAAGACAGAACTCTTGGAATAATTCTTCCAACAGGAATCCTTTATTAAGAGAAAATGGTTGCAGGCATGCTAGACAGGACTTGGGGTTCAAGCTCTCCCATTCAAGGTTTTAAGGGGTTCCCCAGTAGTCCCACCCAATCAACCCCCCTTCCAGTGATAGTTTCAAGTATCACAATTCCATCCCCTTTCTTCTTCCGTCTGGATGGAGACTTCAGATAACTACATGAAAGGCAATTACTCTTCTTTGATATGTTAAAGCTTAGAGGCCACAATAAACACACATTCAGTCCTTTGAAGTGTGCTGAAGGAAGTGAGGGCCATAAAGCCCCTTTGCTCTCCCCCTTTTCTCCCTCTTATGGCAGAATCCAGAGAAGGCAGAATTGGGAGTTTCTATGTTTGATAATTAAAGATGAAATATAATTGGATTCTGACATCCGGCCCCTCTTAACAATAAGAGAGATCCACCTGAAAGAAAACACAAGTAAAAAATTTAGTTAGGCTTGTTAGGATACTCTGTGTGAAACTTCTTCAATAGCTTCGGGGCTCTGACGTGACGTTTATGGACCCACTCATTTTGTGAGGCAGGGAGGTGTTTCCAGGCAACTAGGTACTGAGTTGTTCCACGATATCTCCTAGAGTCAAGGATCTCTTTTATTTCGAAGTGTTGTTCCCCCTCCACCATGATTGGAGGTGGTGGGGGGGGGATTTTTGGCCGTAGAGGTGACTGATGCTCTCTTTTCAGCAAGCTGCAATGAAAAATTGGGTGTATTTGCCTGAGGTTTTTGGGTAATTCTAATTCTACTGTTACTGGATTTATGATCCTTTTAATTGGAAAAGGTCCTATATATTTTGGTCCAAGTTTTTTACAGGGCTGTAGGGACTTTAGGTATTTTGTAGATAAGTACACCATTTCTCCTATAATGAATGGTGTAGGCTCAACCCTTTTTTTATCGGCTTGTGCTTTGTATGCCCGCCTAGCTTCATCTAGTGATTTTCTGACTATTGGCCAGGTGTTTTGTAGGTTTTCCATCCATTCTTTCAGTGAAGGGATCGTTGGTTCTTTTGGGGTTAACTCTGGCATAGGGTTGAAACTTTGGCCGTTGGCTATTTGAAAAGGAGTGTAGCCTGTGCTGGAGTGGACTGCATTATTGTAGGCAACTTCTGCAAAAGGAAGTAAGTCCGTCCAATCACTCTGTTGGAAATTTAAAAAACATCTCAAATATTGCTCAAGTACCGACTGGCAGCGTTCCGCTTGTCCATCTGTCTGAGGGTGATGGCTAGATGTCAGTCCCTGAGTGGTCCCTAAGAGGGATAAAAATTCCTTCCAAAATGTAGACGTAAATTGCACTCCCCTATCAGAGATGATGCGTTGGGGTGCCCCGTGCAATCTGTAAATGTGCTGGATAAAAAGTTTTGCTAAGGCCTTTGCAGTGGGAATTTTTTGGCAAGGGATAAAGTGCACCTGTTTGGAAAATAGGTCCGTGACTGTCCAGATAACAGTATTCCCATTGCTTTCAGGCAATTCCACTATAAAATCCATGGCTATTTCCCTCCAGGGGGCTGAGGGACTTGCCACTGGTTGTAACAGCCCTGGCGATTTCCCTTGCAACCTCTTTGCTGATGCACAGGTTGGGCAGCTGGCAACATAACTTTCTATGTCCTTTTTTATTGATGGCCACCAAAATTGCCGTTTAATTAAGTGTAAAGTTTTTACAAATCCAAAATGCCCTGCTGATTTTGTGTCATGGCAAAGTTGCATGAAAGTTAGTCTTTGAGTTGTTGGTATATATAACTTTTCCCCTACCCAAGGCAATCCGTCTCTCATTGTGCACACATGTTTGTTTTTCTGGAACCAATCATCTGTTTCCAAACTTTTTCTGAATTCAATCCCAGTTTGGCTGTCCAGTTGTGGTTTTATTTTGGCTTGGGTTCTTGTGGTTACTGGCGCTGCCAGTTGTGATTCTGCCATTATTGGTCTAGAGTCTGTGGTTCGTGCGCTGTTATATTGGGGCATGCGAGATAGTGCATCTGCCAGGAAGTTCTTTCTTCCTGGTAAATGTTTGAGCTTAAATTGGAATTGGTGAAAATGCTGGGACCAGCGGGCTTGTTTGGGATTGAGTTTCCTGGGAGTTTTCAGGGCTTCTAAATTTTTGTGATCAGTCCATACCTGGAAGGGGATTTTGTTGCCTTCCAGGAACTGTCGCCACGTGAGTAATGCCCAACGTATCCCATAAGCCTCCTTCTCCCATACGGGCCAGCGCTGTTCTGTTTCCGTGAGTTTCTTAGATGTATATGCACAGGGTTGCAATACTGCATCATCATTTTCTTGTAATAGCACAGCCCCCACTGCCACATCACTTGCATCTGCCTGTATTATGAAGGGTTTGTCCATGTCTGGGTGCCTTAGTACTGGTTCGGCAGAAAAAAGTCTCTTTAGTCTCTCAAACGCTGCTTGGCACTCCATTGTCCATTTTAGTGGCTGGCTAGGTTTTACTGAGGATGTTCCCTTCGTTTTTAGTAAGTTAGTGAGGGGCAAGGCTATCTGTGCAAATGAGGGGATGAATTGGCGGTAAAAATTTGCAAAGCCCAGGAAACTTTGTAGTTGCTTTCTTGTGCGGGGTGGTGCCCATTCTAATACTGCTCTGACCTTCTCTGGGTCCATTTCAATGCCCTGTGGGGATATGCGATAGCCTAGGTAGTCTATCCTTTCCTGGTGGAATTCGCATTTTGAGAGTTTGGCATATAGGTGAGCGGCTCGCAGCTTCTTTAAAACCGCTCTGACAAGTTTGACGTGTTCTTCTTTTGTTTCGGTAAAGATAAGAATGTCGTCCAAGTAAACAAGGACCCCCTTAAACAGGTGCTCCCTTAGAACGTCATTGATTAATTGCATAAAGACTGCAGGGCCCCCTTGTAATCCAAATGGCAAGACTTTGAATTGATAGCACCCCATGGGGCAGTTAAATGCAGTCTTCCATTCGTCCCCTTCCTTGATTCTTACTCGATAGTAAGCTTCCCTTAAGTCTAGTTTAGAAAAAATTTTCCCTTTCGATAGGTGTGACAGCATGTCTTTCATGAGGGGCAGCGGGTATAGGTTGCTTTCACTGATTGTATTCAGGGCCCTATAATCCACGCATAAACGTAAAGAGCCATCCTTCTTCTCTCTAAAAAGGACCGGGGCAGCCACTTTAGGCTTGGCTGGCTCAATGAAACCTCTCTCCAGGTTTTTTTTTATAAATCTTTCCATTTCCTCCTTCTCCTTTGGGCTCATGGAGTATAATCTGGGCTTCGGGAGTTTTGCCCCAGGCTTGAATTCAATGGTACAGTCTGTGGGTCGGTGGGGGGGAAGCTCATTCGCCCTCTCCTCACTGAAGACTTCAGCAAGGTCCCTATATTCCTCTGGTATTTCTGTTAATCTTTTTTCCTCTCCTATGGATGCTTTTTCTATTCTTGATTCTGGTAGCCTCCCTTGGGGTTTTAAGTCCATAGGGTCCCCCTTCGGGAATTTGATTTCTGTCGTCCTCCAATTTACCCAGGGGTTCCATTTTTTCAACCATTCCATCCCTAGAATCATTGGGCATTCCATACCTGGGGTCACCACAAACGTTAAGTCCTCTTCATGGTTGCCCAGGGAGAGATGTATTGGCAAAGTGGCTAGGGTAGCTGGCACCCCCCCTGCTATGGATCCATCTAGCTGGCCAAATGAGATTGGTTGTTCCAGTCTCCTGGATGGGATGCCCAGATTCCCCACTAGTGTTGGGCTAATGAGGCAGCGGGTGCAGCCAGAGTCTATTAAGGCTTTCACCTTCACAGCTTCGGGCATGGGGGGGATTAATATAGTCACTGTTTTGAAGATGGGTGTGATGCATCCACTTACCAGGGGTTCGCCCTCCGAGCTGTCATCTGAGGCATCCACCGGCCCTGTGGTGTAGGCTGGAGTCCTTTCCCCTTGGTGAGCAGAGGTGGGGGTTTCTGCAATTTCCATCATTCTCATGGCCGTTTCTTTTGGCTTAGCTGAATACTTTCCGGGTTTGTTGATTGGGGATCTGTCTGGGTTGTGTTGGGGGGCCTTTGAGCGGCATTCTACAGCTCGATGCCCTTCTCTTCCGCACTTGAAACATCCCATTTGCTTCTTGGCTGTATCCGATGATTTCACCGGTTGGTGTGTCAGCTCAGGCGGGGGGCGGCTCCATTGTTTTCCTCGGCGGTGCCTCTTCAATATGTCGATCTCTGCTTCCTCTGCCAAGACGTACCATTCCTCAAGTCGATGTGGGTCCCCTCGGGGTAGGCAAGCATCATATAGATCATAGTTTAGTCCGTCTTTGAAATGGCCAAGGAGGATGTCTTCTGGCCAATTCAGTTTGCTGGCAATGGCCCGGAATTCTTGTGTATACTCAGCCACTGGGCGTTTGCCCTGCCTCATCGTTGTTATTCTTTCACGGGCTTTGCGATCAGCCAGGGGGTCTTCAAATCGTCTTCTCAAAGAGGACATGAAACGGTTGAAGTTACTGAGTTCTGGGGCATTGGAGTCATGCAAGTTCACTACCCAATCCGCAGCTGGTCCATCCAGGGCAGATTGCACGATCCGGATGCGGGCTTTGTCGCTGGGAATGTCCTGCCCATATTCCTCCATGTAGCTGAGGACTTGGGTTAGGAAAAATCCCAAGCGTGTTGGCTCCCCTTTGAATTTCACTTCCAACGGTGGACGTCTTGGAATGGATCGGTGCCTCTGTTGTGGGTGGTAGTGCCTTCCGTCCAGATTGCCATCTGTGGTCCGGTAGGGGGTGGGAGCTCCTGGATCAGTAGATGTCCCTGGGGTTGCAGGTTCCACGTTCCCCTCGGTGTCTCTCCCTTTGCGGCTCCAGGAACTGGGGCAGCCGTAGGGTTCAGTATTCTCCTCTCCTAGGGAGCTGAGAGTTCTCTTCATCAGGTCAATAGCTTTCTCTAGGATCCAGTCTGAGTACGGTGCCCAGCTTTCTCCCTCTTCACTTGCGTGCAGGGATTTCTCCATCTCCTGCTTCCATTCTGGTTGCTTGGTCCCCCGTCTCAGGGTCACCTTTCTTGATTCCTTTCCCCACTCACTTTTCTTTCCAACGCCCATCGACCAGCGAGGCTTGTGGTCCTGTGTCTCCACCACTTCTTCTCCTGAGGAATCTGGCCTCTCGGATCCCAACATCTGGCAAGGTTCCAACTGGGTCAGCGGCTCTCTTTCCAGGGAGTTTTCCCCCTCTTTTGCTCCATTGTCTGACATGGTAAATTTTTGCAAAATCCCCCGGCAAGGGTCTCCTTCCAGGTGGATTAATTTTGCAAGTCCTGTCTAATGTGAGGACCCACCCCACTTTGCATCTTAAGAAGACAGAACTCTTGGAATAAGCTCTTCCAACAGGAATCCTTTATTAAGAGAAAATGGTTGCAGGCATGCTAGACAGGACTTGGGGTTCAAGCTCTCCCATTCAAGGTTTTAAGGGGTTCCCCAGTAGTCCCACCCAATCAACCCCCCTTCCAGTGATAGTTTCAAGTATCACAATTCCATCCCCTTTCTTCTTCCGTCTGGATGGAGACTTCAGATAACTACATGAAAGGCAATTACTCTTCTTTGATATGTTAAAGCTTAGAGGCCACAATAAACACACATTCAGTCCTTTGAAGTGTGCTGAAGGAAGTGAGGGCCATAAAGCCCCTTTGCTCTCCCCCTTTTCTCCCTCTTATGGCAGAATCCAGAGAAGGCAGAATTGGGAGTTTCTCTGTTTGATAATTAAAGATGAAATATAATTGGATTCTGACACCCATTTTTTCAGTGCTGTTGTAACTTTGAACGGTCACTGAATGAACTGTTGTCGAGGACCAGCTGTATTTGGTTTCTGAGTTCACTCATAAGCGCCTGAGTCCAGGTCACTAGATGGTCCCTGTCCCTACTGGCAGCTCAGAATCTGGTGTGGCAGTGCAGCCATGTGTTTATGTGTTTAACATCTTCTCCAACAGGAAACTTACCTTCTACCTTGGAGACAAAACCAAGGCTACGTTTAAGGTCCGAGCAGATGGACTGCATGCACCAACGAAACTTGGCATCACAGCGATATTTATTAGACCCACAGGTATCATAACATACATCCACCTGGTTGCAGCATTTAGTCATGGCTGGGATGCCCATATCAAGCTGTAAAAAGAATGCCAAGAGACGACAAAATTATTCTGGGGGTTGAAATGATTTTCCCCTCCTTCCATATTTCTCCTATAAAAAAAGCATGTCTCGCCAGACGATGAATATTTTAACAAGTGAAAGTGCTATATATTTGACTGTCCTGCCCAGCAGGAGGACTGCAGTGAAATGTGAGATTATGCAAATTGATCTATTTATTTTGGGAATAAATAGGAACCAGGAGAGGATCTCCTTTAGCTGTATCTGCCTATGGGTTTTAACTGCTTTACAGAATGACAAGATATTGTTCAACGTCCAAGGATGCATTCAGCCAACCTGAATATGTCAACAAAGCAGCAACTGTCCCAAACTTTCTTGGAGATTTACCAGGAAATTTTATAGTTGCAGAGCAAGCCTTTGCTTCTGTTGCATCAGGTTGAAAGTATCAGCAATCAGTGAACAGTGAGCCTGAAGCTTGTGCACTTTAATATGCCATCCAGGGTGAACTTATGCAAAGAAAATATGGAATATGAAAAATGCAAGTTTTATTCAGCAAACACAGATCATTCTTGCAACAAAGAATTCTGTGATTAGGGGACTGGAGGCTAAAACATATAAGGAACAGTTGCTGGAATTGGGTATGTCTAGTTTAATGAAAAAGAAGGACTAGGGGTGACATGATAGCAGCATTCCAATATCTCAGGGGCTGCCACAAAGAAGAGGAAATCAAGCTATTCTCCAAAGCATGAAAAGGCAACACAAGAATCAATGAATGGAAACTAACCAAGGAGAGAAGCAACCTAAAATAAGGAGAAATTTTCTGACAGTTAGAACAATTAATCAGTGGAACAACCTGCCTCCAGAAGTTGTGAATGCTCCAACATTGGAATTTTTTAAGAGACTGGACAGCCATTTGTCTGAAATGGTATAGGGCCATGGTGACGAACTTATGGCTCGTGTGCCACAAGTGACACGCAGAGCCCTCTCTGTGGGCATGCAAGCCGTTGCCCCGGTCCTAGGCCTTCAGCTGGGTTTTATAAAACCCTTTTGCTTTAGGGCGCCACCGTGTGCAAAATAAAAAAAAAGGTTCAATCAATCAATCAATTTCAACTTCTCGCAGGCAAAAAAAAGATCTCACAAAGTTGGAATTGATTGATTGAACTTTTTAGTCCCACCCAGTTTGCCATTACCACCGCAGCCACACCCACCCAATGGGCCATGCCCACCCAATTGGCCACACACACCCAATGGGCCATGCCCACTCGGCACACAACGATACATAAGTGGGTTTTGGGTTGCAGTTTGGGCACTCGGTCTCTAAAAGGTTCACCATCACTGGTATAGGGTTTCCTGCATGAGCAGGGGATTGGACTAGAAGATCTCCAAGATCCTTTCCAACTCTTTTATTCTGAATTCTGTAATGTGGGAATTTCACTGCTAGAAAATTGTTCATCTGCTAGGAAATATCAGATGCTGGCTTAATTCTTAAGTCATGGCACCAGCTGAGGTGAGATTAATGGACTTTAATCTTAATCAGATATAAGTTTTTGAGCAATCTTCTTATTGCTAATATTCATGTTAAAGTACTCTGGCCCTTTAACTTTAATTATTAAGACGGTTTTCTAGCCAGCATCCATTTCCAAATCTTCCATTTGTAGAAGATATATTTAACACTACAGCTGTTCCTAACAGTTGGGGATTAAATATTCTGTGTCCAACCAATCAAAGAGTGAATTCTATGGGCAGCGGTCAGACAAAAACAAATTTGTTTTGTCTGCCATAAGCAGCTGGCCATCCCTTTTGGCATGTATAGGAAAATAGCTTGCATAACATGGGGTAAGTGACTGTCTAGGCCAACTTTGAATAGAAATAGTTGAGCAATTGCAGTTATTTGTAACAAAGTCAAACGCTTCTTTCTTCCTGGATGTTTTGATCAATTAATTATTTCATTATTTCGTCAGGGAAATGGGTTGTTAGTACATACACTTTCTGGTACCTTGAGACCCAGGAAATAGGAGCTACAGCCATTGGGTTCTGGAGATTTATAATTTGGTCTAGGCAATGGTGCTTTCCCTGGGGGAAAAAAAAGCAAAGAAAAGTACTTTGTGGCAGCCTTGAAAAGAATTATACAGTATAACATAAAGTCCTGTACGTGCACCTGATGTACTTCAGAGGTTGAATTCCAATTATCATCAGGCCTAGTCAGCATGGCCAGTGATAAGCATGATAAAATCTAGCAGCAGCTCAAAAGCTAAAAATTGCATTTCTGTCTTTTACAATGTTGTTGGAAAATAGGAAAGACAAAGCTAGGATTTGCCAAAGACAAGATCATAAATTTAATTAGGAATCCTTGAAACATAACCAATAGGCATACAGAAGATCAGAAACTTTACGTATGTTAACTCTTCTAACTACAGCTGTCTTTCTATTCTGGACATTTAAGTTTTGAATTGCTCATTCTCCTTCTGAAATATAAAAGTAGACTTTGAAAGGAATTCCTTTTGTCTCAGACTTTTAGCCACTAGTTGTTGCCACTGCAAACAAAAGAACTTTTGGATGTCAAAATTTATGATCAAATAGATGCCACTTCGTATTAACATTAAAGTATTAAACATAAAATAATATGCTGGCAGTCAAAGCCTGCAGTTTTTCTATTCCGTATTTAATATTGCAGTTCATGCCCACATTAGAAACTCAGTAGATTTTTTTTTAAAAGCCTTGCTTTTATTTATTTATACTGTAATAAGGTAATATAACTCAATTACAGAAAGAGAACATTATATTTTTAGAGATAGCATAAAAGAAGCAGGTTTTAAGAGGAAGGATGTATACATGAGAGTTCAAAAGAATCAAAATGTCAATAACAACTGCATAAGGGGAGCCCCAGTGGTGGAATTCAGCCGGTTCGCACCACTTCGGCAGAACCAGTAGCTAATTTTTTGTTGCCCAGGCTCAGAATGGACTTCCGGAAGTGGCATCCACACAGAGAACCAGTTGTTCACATATTTGAATCCCACCACTGGGGAGCCCTGTGTGTCAAATGTGCAGTGCACTTGAAAAAATGGGTGGGGCTTCAAATTACAGGTAGTCCTTGACTTATGACAATTGGGACCAGGATGCCAATTGGTAAGCAATATGGTTATTAAGTGACTTGTGCCGAATTTTAGGACTTTCTTTGCCATTGTTTTGAAGCAAATCACTGCAGTTGTTAAGTGACTTACCAGTCATGGCTTCTCCCATGACTTTGCTTGCCAAAAGTCAGCTGGGAAATTTACAAATTGTGATCATATGACCCTGGGACAGTGTAACCATTGCAAATGCATGCCAGTTGCCAAGTGCCCAAATTTATGATCACAGGACTATGGAGATGCTGCAATGATCATAAGCATGAACACCAATCATAGGTCACTTTTTCAATGCCATTGTAACATCAACAGGTCACTAAATGAATGGTTGTAAGTCAAGGATTACCTGTGTGTGGTTGTGACCATCATTGTGCCCCCTCACCTGCAAAGACCCTGTTTGAGGAAGTTGATAACCTCAAATAAAGAGGAAAACCTAAGCTGCAAGCAAAAATTAACTCTTTTCATTACTTATTAACACAGGTAATAATGTTTAACATAAATGGAGTATAACAACACTATCTGGGCTGGCAAAACAATTCTGAGTCTTAGTCCTCAAAAAGAGTTGAAAAGATAACTGAAACTCAGGTTTAATCTGTTCTGGAAAGCAGTGAGCAGGCAAGTACCCCATCAAAGAGATAATATTCTTTAAAAAAAAATAAATCTCTTCATCCTAGCCCCTTTGTAGATGGTTTTCCTAATACAGTCCCATCTTGCAGATAGTGAAAAATGTGCTATTTCACATGTTGTCAACATCATTTCAACAGGGAAACCCACTCACACTGCAAAAGAATTCATCTTTGGACAGAGATGATTAGTACTGGAAAAAGAAGATTATCTGTCAAACATTTGCTTAGTGCAAAACAAACCTGAAATTTGCTTCACTGTATTTTCAGAGTTGCAAGTCCTAGTCCTCCTAGGTAAACTAGACCGGAAGCACAACTAGATGAACTCATTTTACCTCATTCTAAAATGCCATTGACATAATCTTGCAAGCTACAAAAGATCAACATTGGATGGAACCTGCGGAGAAGCTGGCACCTGGCCATGATGAAAACTGGGAAGTTTGGCAATCACTAAATAGACTTTGCATCTTAAGAAGACAGACCTCTTGGAATAATTCTTCCAACAGGAATCCTTTATTAAGAAGAAGTGGTTGCAGGCGTGCTAGACAGGACTTGGGGTCCAAGCCCTCCCATTCAAGGTTTTAAGGGGTTCCCCAGTAGTCCCACCCAATCAACCCCCCTTCCAGTGATAGTTTCAGGTATCACAATTCCACCCCCTTTTTTCTTTCTTCCGTCTGGATGGAGACTTCAGATAAACTACATGAAAGGCAAATACCCTTCTTTGTTATGGTAAGGTTCTTTGCTAACGCTTTGAGGTTACAATAAACACACATTCAGCATTCAGCTCCTTAGAAGTATACTGAAGGAAGTGAGGGCCATAAAGCCCCTTTGTTCTCCCCCTTCTCTCCCTCTTATGGCAGAATCCAGAGAAGGCAGAATTGGGAGTTTCTATATTTGATAATTAAAGATGAAATATAATTGGATTCTGACATCCGGCCCCTCTTAAAAATAAGAGAGATCCACCTGAAAGAAAACAAAACAAGTATAAAATTTAGTCAGGCTTGTTAGGATACTCTGTGTGAAACTTCTTCAATAGCTTCGGGGCTCTGACATGACGTTTATGGACCCACTCGTTTTGTGAGGGAGGGAGGTGTTTCCAGGCAACTAGGTACTGAGTTGCTCCATGATATCTCCTAGAATCAAGGATTTCCTTTATTTCGAAGTGTTGTTCACCCTCCACCATGAGTGGAGGTGGTGGGGGGGGGATTTTTGGCCGTAGAGGTGACTGATGCTCTCTTTTCAGCAAGCTGCAATGAAAAATTGGGTGTATTTGCCTGAGATTTTTGGGTAATTCTAATTCTACTGTTACTGGATTTATGATTCTTTTAATTGGAAAAGGTCCTATATATTTTGGTCCAAGTTTTTTTACAGGGCTGTAGGGACTTTAGGTATTTTGTAGATAAGTACACCATTTCTCCTATAATGAATGGTGTAGGCTCAACCCTTTTTTTATCGGCTTGTGCTTTGTATGCCTGCCTAGCTTCATCTAGTGCTTTTCTAACTATTGGCCAGGTGTTTTGTAGTTTTTCCATCCATTCTTTCAGTGAAGGGATCGTTGGTTCATTTGGGGTTAATTCTGGCATGGGGCTGAAACTTTGACCGTTGGCTACTTGAAAAGGAGTGTAACCTGTGCTGGAGTGGACTGCATTATTGTAGGCAACTTCTGCAAAAGGGAGTAAGTCTGCCCACTCAGTTTGCTGGAAACTAAGAAAACATCTTAAATATTGCTTAAGTACGGAGTTCATTTTTTCAGCCCCCCCCCCATTTCCTTGAGGGTGGTGGCTAGATGTCAGTCCCTGAGTGGTTCCTAAGAGGGATAAAAATTCCTTCCAAAATGCAGACGTAAATTGCACCCCCCTGTCAGAGATGATGCGTTGGGGTGCCCCATGCAATCTGTAAATGTGTTGGATGAAAAGTTTTGCTAAGGCTTTTGCAGTGGGAATCTTTTGGCAAGGGATAAAGTGCACCTGTTTGGAAAACAAGTCCGTGACCATCCAGACCACAGTATTCCCATTGCTTTCTGGCAATTCCACTATAAAATCCATGGCTATTTCTCTCCAGGGGGCTGAGGGACTTGCCACTGTTTGCAATAGTCCTGGCAATTTCCCTTGCAACCTCTTTGCCGTGGCACATTTTGGACAACTGGCTACATAACTTTCTATGTCCTTTTTCATGGATGGCCACCAAAATTGTCGTTTAATTAAATGTAAAGTTTTTACAAATCCAAAATGCCCTGCTGATTTTGTGTCATGGCAAAGCTGCATGAAAGTGACTCTTTGAGTTGTTGGTATATATAATTTTTCCCCTACCCAAGGCAACCCGTCTTTCATTGTGCACACATTTTTGTTTTTCTGGAACCATTCATCTGTTTCCAAACTTTTTCTGAATTCAATTCCAGTTTGGCTGTCCAGTTGTGGTTTTAATTTGGCTTGGGTTCTTGTGGTTACTGGTGCTGCCAGTTGTGACTCTGCCAGTTCTTTCTTCCTGGTAAATGCTTGAGCTTAAATTGGAACTGGTGAAAATGCTGGGACCAGCAGGCTTGTTTGGGATTGAGTTTCCTGGACGTTTTCAGGGCTTCCAAATTTTTGTGATCAGTCCACACCTGGAAGGGGATTTTGTTGCCTTCCAGGAATTGTCGCCACGTGAGTAATGCCCAACGTATCCCATAAGCCTCCTTCTCCCATACGGGCCAGCGCTGTTCTGTTTCTGTGAGTTTCTTGGATGTATATGCACAGGGTTGCAATACTCCTTCATTGTTTTCTTGTAATAGAACAGCCCCCACTGCCACATCACTCGCATCTGCCTGTATTACGAAGGGCTTGTCCATGTCTGGGTGCCTTAGTACTGGTTCGGCAGAAAAAAGTCTCTTTAGTCTCTCAAACGCTGCTTGGCACTCCATTGTCCATGTTAGTGGCTGGCTAGGTTTTACTGAGGATGTTCCCTTTGTTTTTAGCAAGTTAGTGAGGGGCAAGGCTATCTGGGCAAATGAGGGGATGAATTGGCGGTAAAAGTTTGCAAAACCCAGGAAGCTTTGTAGTTGCTTTCTTGTGCGGTGTGGTGCCCAATTTAATACTGCTTTGACTTTCTCTGGGTCCATTTCAATGCCCTGGGGGGATATGCGATAACCTAGGTAGTCTATCCTTTCCTGGTGGAATTCTCATTTTGAGAGTTTGGCATATAGGTGGGCGGCTCGCAGCTTCTTTAAAACCGCTCTGACAAGGTTGACGTCTTCCTCTTTTGTTTCAGTAAAGATAAGAATGTCGTCCAAGTATGGACTTCCGGTGGTTAAGGCGGTGGAGATGGCGGCTACTTTGTAGCCGTCCTC